TATATATCAGTTTCCAAACAAATATATATATATGTTTTAATATTTATTTATTTATTTATTTTTTTAAATAAGGCAACATTTCTCATTTTCATTTAAAAATGAAGCACTAAAATAATTGAAACTAAATAAACTAAAACGTAATAAAAACTATATAGACATTTAAAAAAACAAATAAAAAAGACAAAAACACAACAAAATTACTAAAACGTCAAATAAATTTTAAATTTACAACAGAAAAAATAAAATAGAATTCAGAATATTTACACAAACTATATTAGTGTATGAATTATCAGGGTTGCAAAGAGACAGAAAATTTTCAGTAAATTTTGGGAAAAATATGAGAATTTTTTACAACTTTTCCAGGACTTTTTTTTTTTTTCAGAAAATGGAAAGTTTCCGGAAATTTTCTCCCCCTTTGCAACCCTATCAATGATACTAAAATAACATTGCTATTAATGGATTAATGGCGCTTACTGAATTTGCTTAATAATATAATATTTAAAAAAAATGCTGTTCTTTTGAACTTCTTTTGAAAATCCAAAAAAAAAAATAATAATAATAATAATAATAATATTTTCACATAGAAATAGAAAAGTTATTTTAAATTTTAACAATATTTCATAATACAACTGTTTTACTGTGTTTTTCATAAAAAAAATGTATATGACAGTATTATGGATAATGCTTTCTTTACTGTACCTGATGCTAAGACTCTGAGGGGCTTCACAGCGCCACCCCAAGGTGCTCCCAGAGAGATGAAGCTCTTAATGTAGTGGTCTTTCCAGTGCTGAGTCTGCTGGTTGAGGAAGTACAGGATGTAGTTGTTGCCCATGCTGTGGCCCAGAAGGTAGACTGGTTGCTTGTACTCATCATGCATCTCCTCCACCAGGTTCTTCAAACGTGAAAAATACTCCTCCTGCTCATCTACATGGTACCAAACAGAAACATTCACATAGTTGTTTGTGGGACACAGAAAGAACACTGTGTGAATAGTTGCCAGTGTGTTGCTATGGAGTTGCCAGGGCATTCCTATGTAGGGTTGCTCTGTGAATTTGCGCACATAAGACAAACAAAAGTAAAAAAATTGAGTACTACTACATTGCAAGCATAAAAGTAGTGACATATAAGCACATACACACACACTACCGCTCAAGTTTTTTGTTTTAAAAGAAATGAATACTTTTATTCAGCAAGGCTGCATTAAAGTTTTACTTACAGTAAAGTCACCTAATTTATAATGTTACAAAGTGAGTTTACCTTATATTATCAATCCAGCAGTCAATTCCAATGGGCATAAACATGTTTAGGTCAATCCAGAGAGGGAACCAGTCCTCGGTTTTCTTGTAACACATCCAGTGTACCAGTGTGGGCTTGTCTATTTTGGCCTCAAGGCGATTACCCAGATTTCCAGGTACTGTTAAAAAGGCGTCAAAAATGTAAAATTCTAATTCTAACTTAACCAGATACATATTTTGTTGTCAAAGGTAGACCTTGTAACAATCTGTACACATAATATGGATTTTAACTGGTCTAAAAGTGCATGACAGATCAATCTGTAATCTTGTCTAGCCTGCCTTATGTAATAATTGTATGTTTTTTTTCTACTAAATTAATTAACCAATAAAGAAAACACATTACTCTAAACTTAAATATCCAAACTATGAACGTAAGATTGCTTACCTATGATAAGAGGAGGAGTGCTATTATTTACGACGCGGGGTTTGGCCGTCGGAGGGAAGATAACGTTAAATAACCAGAATCCAGAGGTCTGGTGCAGTGCAACCAGAAGAAATGCAATGCATTTGAAGGAACGCGAATGTCCCATTGTGTTTGTGTCTGTGCTGGCCGTCTGCCTCTGATTCCGAGATATATCCAGCTGCAGACCCGCAGCACCAGCAGTTTCAGAACCGCAGCCACAGAA